TGTTGCGCAGCCGTGATGGTCAAGGTCTATTGGTGGATAAACCCAGCTCTCGCTTGGTTCTCCGCTTGAGGCTCCGCTCTTGCACTTGGCGACCTTATAGAGCATAGATTCGGGGTGTAATAGACGATAGCGAAGCCCGGTGACGTTGGTAAGGCCGTCTACGACCCGAAGCACGCGAGCGGTTAGTTGGCTTTGTGAGCACCATGACAGGCTATCACTCAGATAGACATGTCTTGCGTTCTACTCGGGCCGGGCCTTTGAAATCTCGGCTTCAGAGCTTCATTAGAAGCTCTGAACATGCCTGGAAGCAGCCGCTCCCCATAGATGCTATGAGACAAGCACTGTGATGTCTTTCATTCAGTCATGCACGGGTTGGATGCGAAGGAAAGAACATGCAGAAGGCCGGTACGTCGGGCCAGTATAGCGACTTCGTATGATACCTGGGTAGATTGAAGATAAGGAAACTTTTGCAGAAAGAAGCCAGACCCTATTGCTGATGGGTGTTGATGTACTGAGTTCGTGAGTATAGCGGGGTTCAAAGACGCGCCCTGTTCAATGCTGTGAGGCCAGCGTTCAGTATCGATAAGGGAATGCGCTAACTGGATTCAGGCCTAGTCCCAAAAATGACAAAAAACGTAGTAGTGACGATGCATCTTGATTACGAGCCGTAAAGGATCTTTCACGTTCTATACTATCTATCAAAGACTCTTGCTCAACTGCTTAAATGTTTCTACTCTACTGTTCCTCAAAGTTTGCTCTCTCGCGCCGCAAACGACTGTTGGCACGCGAAATGCAAAATGAAAAGGTTCCATCTCTGAGGATACAACTCCTTCATCCTGTCATACAATGCCTCAGCACTCGTCGTCCTGGCCAACTCCTTTTCAAATGTGTAAATGTACTCCCTAGTCGACTGGATCAAATATGGCGCATCTGCCTGTGAAGCTCTCTTATGTCCTGCAACAACAATATGCGGATTCTTTGCCTCAATGAGATCGATAGCATCCAGCCACTCCTTACGTTTGTCTGGCGTGTTGGCCTCGCCAAAATGCTGATGACAGTCGCCGTACACAATGTCGCCCGTAACGACAAGGTCGACTGCAGGGACGTGGAGAAAGCTGGAGAACTCATTGTCCGTGTGTCCGACTTCGACGCCATGTAGCTTCTCGCCGTCGATGAAGAATTCGCCTGAGGCAGGGAGGGCCTTCGGTATCGGCCTGGCTTGATGTATCTGATTCGGAAAAAGATTTGGCCAAACATGGTCGAAGGTCGTGTTGTACAATTCTTGGATTCCGGCTACAACGTTTTGCGTGGCGACGAATTCAAGGCCCGGGAAGTGTTCTTGCAGTACTGGCACAGCCGCGAAGTGATCGGGATGTGCGTGGGTAGTATAAACATACTTGAGCTTCTTATTCGGAGCTGTCTCGCGAATCCATTTGGCGATCTCCTCGCCTTGCTGAACGGTGATGGGAGTATCGATGAGGGCGGCTGACTCGGGTCCGTGGACAAGTACACAGCTGATGGGTGACCAAGCTGCCCTTTCGTAATCAGGAAAGCCGGTTGTAGCTGGGATAACGGGGGCAATGTAGATATCGACTTGAAGCTTGGTATTACCCATCTTGTGATTTGTGTGCAGTAATTTGGGGAATATTGTGATGAAGATGTAGAATAATTCCAATTCAATGAGACCTCGGGATCTTTATAGAGGAGTGCTAGTGTGGATAAGAGGCTAATCGGTACCGGCGACGATGTGAACTCTTGGTTGGTTTCGTAGAATGATCAATGCAGGTGTGGGGTGCGGGGAAGCTCGAAACTAGTTTACGTCCGTACATATGCGCATCGGGGGCATGCGGACCGACCCATAGATCTGTGTATACCCTAGCTTACGCCCGTAAATGCGTGGAAGTCTAATCGCAATACTAGGTAGACTTCCGGCTTGGCTATCGCCCCACACATTTGGTGAATAGTAATCAAAGTTTAAGGTTGATTGTCTTGTCGACTTGCCGTTAGCAATTGATTATGTGAACTTTATCAGTCCATGTGGAGATCTCTAACTCCGCAAAGGCTTGTTGTGAACTATGATGTGGATGCAACGACCAACACCCGCTGTTGAGAATACAACTTGCCGCATGTACTTTCCCGGCTCTGCAACCGTGTACTCACAGGTCATGTTTCCGACATCTTTGAGTCGCAATAGGTCGATTAACGGAGGCTTATCAAAAAAGCTAAACGAGAAAATAGTTTAACTGCACGAATGCAAGATGTACAGATCTCAAGCAGTAGACAGAGTTCGCAAAGTATGCGTTCTTTTTGGTTCCTGTGAGATTGGCAGAGCAGGAGGTCAAGCTGTATTGTTTTCCAGACGCCATCATCAGCCTACAATCCTTCGGGATATGGTACAGCACGATTTTCCTTGACCCAAACTTTCTCCTGCTCACTTCCGAACTTCGGCGGCACCAATCCATTGACCTTCCACAAACGCCGGTCCGTTTCATCCACGTGGAACTCCCAATCGTATCCCTTGTCAGCAACGTGAGGCTTCAAAGCCTGGTCAATTCGCCTGGCTGTTTTGTCCATCGCGATGTCGTCGTCTGGCAGGTTGACGGCAATGTGCTCGATGACGAATCGAATAAACGGCTTGTCCGTTTTCTGCTCCCCGCCTATCCACATATCCTGCGGACCCACTTTGATGAAGTTGACGACAACGTAAAAAGGAGGAAGGCCTATGTCCGTATAGATCTTGGTGATGTCTTGAGTGAGAGCCTTCCTCGCGGCCGTATCCTGGAAATGGCCTTCGGGGTAGAAAACGAGCCAGAGAGGCATTGTAGAGTGTGTAGTAGGTTGTGATGGTAAAATGGTAAGAACAGAGGTTGCGAGTTTAGTAAGTCGAGATGGATGCTTGGAAATCAATAGCTGATGCGATGGACGCCACCATATAAACAATCTCCATTCCCCCGTATCAGATGACAAGCAGTCTTGAATCTTTTCCCCGCATCTGCAAGTGCAATTCAAGACTGTGATCTAGAAGAAATTCGGGCAAAGGGAAGATCCCACTAAAAAGTGGACCCCGCAGCTAGCCTGGAGATCAAGAAAGGCTGTCGAACTAAAAGCGTTTCACTGCTTGTGCAATCATCGGACTGAACCAAACACGAGTCGATTTTGCCGATCGGGAAAAAATCGGAGCAGTTATGTTCCGAATTTTGTGAAGTTACGGCCTTTGTAAAGTTACGGCCGTATGAGATTGCCCGCACGTGCTCCGAAGTTAGTTACGTAAGCTTTGACGCAGACATCCGGAGGGTCGTGAGGGCGAAATCTGTGAAGCATTTCAAGGTTGTGATAGGATTCACCTGAGGTTGCACTAAAGTATGGATTACAAAGTAGCCTACATGTATGAGTAACCACGATAGCTTGAGGTCAGTCTATGATATAAAGCATCCTAATGGCTCGATTCGCCTCTTCAACCACCTCAACCACCTCAAACTCATTACCCTCTTCCACAAACGTTTTTTCCCTGAATCCGAAGCACATTCTTGCGATCATGTCCACCCAACCAGCTTCTTTCCAAACGCTGGACCAAACTACCCTGCGTGGCTTGTTCTATACCCCTAAAAACTACTCCGGGCAAAAGTTGCCATGCGTAGTCATTTCACATGGCTTCTCGGCCACGAAAGATCAGGGCCTGACAGCGGTCGCTGAATATCTTGTGGCGAACCTTCCCATCACCGCTTTGGTTTTCGACAATCGTGGATTTGGAGAGAGCGATGCTGGAGTAGGCAGACCTAGACTGGAAGTTGACGCACCGATACAAATCAGTGATATTTCCGACGCCATTACTTACGCTCAGACTCGACCTGAGGTGGACCCTACCAAGATCGGGATTTGGGGCTCGTCGTTCAGCGGTGGTAATGTGCTTTGGGTTGCTGCGGTAGACCGAAGAGTGAAGGCCGTCGTTTCGCAGGCGCCGTTGGTGGAGGGATACTCTGCTTTTGCCAATTTGATTCGGTCAGATGACATCGCAGATTGGGAAGCAGATTTCCAGAAAGGTTCGTATCGACCCAATTCTCTAACACATCTAATGAGTTTTGACTAATTGGATTATTCTAGATCGAATCGATCGTGCTGCTGGCAAACCACCTATGATGATTCCTGTTGTCGATCCAAATCGACTAAACCGATCGGCCATGACTACAAAAGATAGTAACGCGTCCATGGGAGGGCTTGAGGGCGTCGTTCCTCACTTCAAAAACCAAGTAACCTTGAGGAGGTTTGTTACGCACAAATCAACCTGGCAATGCCAGCGAAGATTCATTCAGCTAACTCGTGGTCAGCATGGAGAATCTTAGAGCGCATCCTGGAGCGGCCTGGATTCACCACATTTCTCCGACACCATTGCTCATGACTGTTGCAGATGACGATGTTGTGACGCCCACTGCGACCACTTTGGAAGCATACAGTCGTGCACTTGAGCCAAAGGAGCTGCATTTGTTCCGTGGTGGTCATTACGAAGCATACGCCACGCAACCCAACTTCGAGGAATGCGTCAAGCGACAGGCTGATTTCTTCAGGAGAAAGCTTTGCTCTTGACCATGCATTAGGTTTAATATGAAGCTTTTGGCTATCGGATTGGAGGCAGACGTAGATTCAGCGGATTGCTCGCGCAATCTTTACCAATACAAGAATTTCACTGCTTACAATATGTCACTATACCCTGTGCATTCCGAGAGAGATACTCCTCTGAGTAATTCGCTTTCTCCCCAACTTTGTATCCCAGGCAATTGGGAAGAGGCACCTTAAGGCCCACAGGTCAAGCTCAGGTCGGCTCATGCCCTAGCTGCACCTCCATCATCACGCACTATGTCATGAAGATGACTACATCACCAATCTCCAATCGCGCAATGCAAACAATCTGATGGCCTAGCGACTTCGCGTCGACAGAAACCAGGTATCCGTCTCCCGTGGACTCGCTGAAGGCGAGCAGGACATCTCGAAACAAACTCTACAAACTACGAAAGACCTCCGTCGGCGGCAACTCCTCTCTGGGCTGCCCTGATCCGGGACTTCTGAAGATCCGCCATGCGCTGCGCTTTCCTCGCTCTACCCTCTGCTAAGAGCTTGTTGTCGTGAAGCTCTTCCCTGTCGGCTTGACGTTCTTCTCTAATCCTGAAGCGCTTCGCATGAAACCGGGCATCTTCAGATTCCATCTCGTACTTCAAGAGCTGTTCTTCTGGCGTTTGAGGCGCGAAGTCGTAGCCAAAGTTGAGGAAGTCAATGCGCTCTCCGATGTCTTCAACATCTCGCTTTCGCTTAGCGCGGAGCCGTTTTTCATTGTCGGCCGAGGATTCTTCAGACGCTTCTCTGCTCCGACGGAGAGGGCGTTCCCGTAGGTGCGTCTCTCTGCGTGACCTGCGAGACTCTGCCTGGTCATCCCTCGGATGAGGCGAGCGGGACGGCTCAGGTTGACGGGTCGGACGGCCGACCGGGGCACGAGGTCTACGCTCTTGTGATGCGGCTGGATTACCTTCGGCTGGCGGCCTTTCATCGGCTTGTGATGGCCTTGTTGGTTCCTGGAACAGAGCATCATGTACCCTTTCTCGCGGCAGCAGGGGACGGAAAGGCTGCCCCGGCAGCCCGTTGAACCTGAGGTTCATGCTACCTGCGTACAGTCCTGGAGCGGGTAAAATACCGATGGGTGCCCTCTGTTGCGGCGTAGGAGTGTGCTGATGGTATGCCTCGAAGTCTAACGATTGCTGAGATGGCATCGGAGAGCCATTGACCGGCTCGTCATCGTTGTTAAAGAGATGACGTCCTGTAGCCATTGCTCGCGGCATCTCTGGAATGTACTCTGGGGCCTTTTCTCCGCCCAACTCTCTGCCAGATTCTTCAGCTCGACCACGTTCGTTCGGGGAAACGTCTGGTCTGATGTTGTACATCCTATGAGCTTCTATCAGGGCGATATGTGCGTCCTTTACATCATCCAGGCGAACAATGCCGATATTATCGACCTGATCTTGCTTCTTAGGTCTGCCAATACCTTTCGGGTGCCTCTTTCTGTTCTCGATCGCAACTCTTGTTTCTCGTTGTACCTCCCCGATGTCTAAAGCAACCTTGGACATGGCGCTCAAGATTGGAATGAACTCATGAAACCAGTCATCTACGCTCTCTCCGCCCCGTGGCCTGATATCTTCTGGAAAGATGTCGATAGCCTCAATTCTCCAGGTTGTTTCGAGGTGCTCTAGCGTATCCTCCTTGTATGAGCCTTTCATCGCATCGGCACGGCGGTAAATGTGGCCGGCAGCTTCTTGTTCATGGGCATTCTTAACCAGCAACAGTACGTCTTCGAGGAGGAAATGCTGCGGTTCCTCGAATGAATTGCCTACACGCCATCGTGCATTCTCGGTAATATCTTCGAACACTGCGACATAGTCTTTTCTGTATCGCGACACCTCCAGCAAGGCGCTGGCGATTGCTTCGTCCCAGGAAAAAGTATCATCCCAGTCCAGTGGCTGCAAGTGATACGGAAACACTTGATGTGCCTCTTCGACAGACCAATTCCGCGCGATCTCCATTAGTATTTCCGCTAAGACCGGGGTATCCTCTTCGTATGAAGTCGCCATGGTGCTGTCGAGATGTCGACCGATCTCAGAGGCGGCGCGCTCGATGTAGATCAACAGTACTAGCAGCGCCATGTTAGTGGTCATGCAATTGCGAGGTGTCAAGGCAGATCGACATACCTGGATCTGAATACGCGTTGGCGGCGCTGGAGTCGGCAATTCGATTGTCGTAGCTGTTGCGTAGAAGAGCGACCGCGAAAGATGCGGGAGTATCTAGATCAGCCGTGGGTCATAGAATATCTCTGCGGCGAGTGTTATGAATTGTGCGCCAAAGATAGCGACAACAGCTTCAGGTCAAAAAGGTGGGGCTGGTCAAACAAAGCGTGCGCACGTACAAAGTGAAAGAGGACGAGAACCAATGGACAATGACCTTTGTTTGAGGGACTAGTGACTAACCGAATTGCTCTAGACATACGAGGAGACTATGTGACGTTCATCCTGGAACGAGCCTGGAATATAGGCCGCGTGTCGCCCTTCCATCATCAGTGTGTCTCTTAGTGTCCAGCTTCGGCCGGAGTATTCAAGGCTGCAGCATCTCGTCTCATATTCCACAGCTCCAGTATACGATCCGTATAAAAGGCTCTGCCATTCGCTATAAGCGCGGTGTCGGCGTCTCGGCCATATCGATGTCGAAAGGTAGTACATGGACCTCTTCTTCTTTCGTCAGTTGTTCGTCTTCGGGTGCATAACCAAAGTTGTAGAAGCTGATCCGGTCTTCGATATTGGACTGGTGTGGTTTAGAGATCTCATTCATTCCTGCGTCTGGATCAGAATGTCGCATTCAAGCCCGAGGCCGCCTGTCCTTTTCATCATCGGTACTTCTCTTTCTCTTTCTGCCTACAGTTCCCTTACCTTTCATGATCACTCCGCCATTCCGATCACTATCGGTCCTGCTCCCTACGACGCGCACAGCACTCGAATAGCTCATGTGCATTCTTCGATATCTTGCCAGTATCTGCAGTCTCAAAGCATGGTAGTAGTCTTCCTGCGCTTGGTATAGTTGATCTTTCTCAAGATGTAGATTTCGCAAGTCGTCGAAAGACGCACCTTTGGGGTCATCAGGGGGTTCTTTCAGCAAACCGTCATCTCCATCGATGCCTGCGAAATTTTCATGGAGTGGACGCGCTTCTTTAGTGTTATTCTCGGCTGATTGGAAACACCCTTCATCGCTGATCAGAGATTCACCTCTTCGCCTAGTGTGTTTAGATCTTCTTCCATCGGTACTTGCGCGTCGTTCACTTTGGTCCGGGGAGGAATCCGGACGATCTTGCCGTCTATCCGCTTCTTGGCCCTGAGTTTCGGGTAGCTTCCGATTCCTGCATATTCGTTGGTAATGAGAAGGGATCTCATGTAGTTGGTCAGCCCGCCTAGATGCCATGACGATGGAGTGCGAATATCAAGATTATGAGGCGTTGCGTGGGTCGAGAGGAGCAGAGTATAGCTTCTCAATAATGTCCACTGTTAGTTCGCGATCGTCGTCAGTGTAAGTGTAGACAGCCGAGAGACAAGCGATCAAGCAAACAAAGGCCGTAACGCACTCAAAGACTCTTGGACAAAGACGAGTGTCATCTCGGTGCCCACGGTGTGGGAATGCTGAACTCACACAAGACCGACTCCGTCAAGAGAATCAGTGAGACGTCGAATAGGGTGTCATTGCGAATAAAGCCTAGCAAATTGTAGCACAACTCTCACTATATTCATGGTAATGTGATAGCATTCTTCTTCAATAGTAGCGCTGCAACGCCTTTGCACCTACAGTCTTCTCAGCAATCTATGTTTATCAAGAGAGACCGACTAGCTATGTCGACCGCCCCTTTCAGCTTGCAGATATTCTTCTCGCACCCGTACCTCCGGCCACCCTCCCCCTACCTTCTCTGGCAGATTCTGGCCTCGTCTACTCCGCCTCCGCGAAACGCTTCCTAACCTCAATAACCTCCTTCTCATGCATCTGTATCCTAACCTTATGCGCCATGGTTATGATCCTCCGAAGATGACAAGGTAGCTTTCGAATTCGCATCAGCAGCACCTTCCCGTGTCCTCTTCAACCGAGACTCCTCAACATTCACCATGAGCTGCGCGAATATTGCTCTGCCCTCGAACAACAGCTCAGCAGTTTTGAACCTGTACCGATCCTGATGTATCTTCGAGAATTCGACATCGGCCTTAAGCTTCATCAACTTTTCCTCTGGCGTCTGGGGCTTTACTTCGTCGTATTTGCTCAGGAAGGCGAGACGGTCTCCAGTTTCGTCCGTCCTCAGCGGTACCTTGTCGGCATAGAAGCCTTTCAATTTGCGGTCTGCCATGAGCTTATAGCGCTTCGCATGCACTCTAGACAACTCAACATCGGCTCGGTACTTCATCAACCTCTCCTCTGGTGTTTTAGGCTCGAAATCATCGTATCCAAAGTTCAGGAAGTCGATGCGGTCTCCGAAGTCTTCGGTCTTCAGCTTAGGCGTAGAGGTCGTTTGCGGAACGGGCTGTGCATTGAGACTCTTGGCTTTATGTGCGGTCATACGAGGACGATGACTTTGAGGGCGTAGTGCGGATCGGGAGATTTCTCGGCGGTTACGTGCGCTCATTTGAGAGCTAACTTGATCCTGGTCCAGGTAACGTGGCTCCTGACGCCGACTCTCGAGTCCGGCTATGTAAGCCTTCACGAAGAACTTGGGGTTTTTGAGCAAGAGGACCTCATGCACTGGAGTATCTCCTGGTTTCGCTTGGTCTGAGTCGTGGCTTTCGCGTGCACGCTTAGTCTTGCGTTCTTCGTGAGCATCAGGTGCGTCGGTAGGACGCTTCAGCGCCGGACGGAAAGGCAGGTTCATCGGAGAGTGTAAGGTTTTCGGGGTTTTGCTGATCTCAGACAGGCGTCGATGACTGTTACCCAGAGCGCCTTCTTGTTGAGAGATCTCGTCATCGATGATTGTCGGAGGTACACATGCGGCGCGGTGACGAGCATGCGCAATCGCGGTCTCGGAGCTATAGGCGTTCATATTGTGATAACTGTCCAAAGGCGTGTAGATGTTGAACGCGGTCGGTGACTACGAGTGGAAAGCGTACCTAGGTAGGCCTGCCCAAGTCCTCCCGGGCAAGTTCCGAGCTAGTGCAGGTAAGTGTGCACGGATTCAATATACTTGAAGTGAAAGCAGACCGAGTAACATGGTGTTTCATTAATAACGATCCAACATAAGCTACGGGATGGTTGATCGATTCTACCCGCTAACCAACGAAGCTCACACTTCGCACTTGAACATGAGAGTGACGAGACGTTGTATGGACTTTAGTGATCATCTCATCTTCGCCGGTCATTGCGTGTCTCCCTCTCGTGACCTCTGTTTCCCCTATCTCTTCCTCTGTTGTACCTAGTTCTTTCGTCGCCAGCGACACGCTTGCTAGTCTCGATCACCTTTATCTCATACATCTGCACTCTCGCCATGTATCGAGCTAGTATCTTCCGCCTCACAGCTTCGTAATATTCCTCTTGCGCACCAAGCAGTTGCACTGCCTCGTCCCGTAGTCCAAGCCGCTCATCGAAAGTGGTACCGGGTGGGTCGGTAACCAGATTGGGCGTCTCAATGGCGTATTCACTGGAGTGGTTAGTGGCTGCGCCGAAATAGGCTGGCTGCTCAACCGGTCGACTTCGCTGCAACGAAGGGTACGGTGGTGGGCTGGATCGCCTATTGACGCTTGGTGCACGTCTCTCACGATCGCGTGGTCGAGGTCGGCTCCTACTTCGCGACCGGTTACGACTCGGTGATCTACCTACGGGGCTTCTGAAACGACTGCGCCGCCTATCACCACTACCCTCCCTCTTTCTCCTCCGTAAGTTGTCCTCATATCTCCACTCATAAGTTTCCTTCTCCTTATTCCACCTGTCTTCATCGCGTCTCCGACTTTCCGCAGATGCCTTATATCTCTCCAAAGCGTCTGGCCCCATGTTCTTTACAACATAATCCCGCGCCTCTTCAACATGCCTAGCTGTAATTTCATCGACGATTCGCCTACGTCGGCCGTGTCCTCCACGGCGAGTGGCTCTGGAAACTGCATTACGTGCCGTATCCACAGAGGAGGTTGCTTTGGCTAGTGAGAACAAGGCGAAGCGAAGCCACGGGTCTGCATTCCTGTGTCTTGGTAGCGGTGGAAGTGGTGGTGCGAAGAAATCTTCCACGCGGTACAGGTCCCAGGTACGACATATGTAATCATCCATAGAGTTCATGGGGCCGAAGGGCCCATATGAGTACTCGCTTTGGATTTCAGACTTGTTGTCGGCGTTGAGGACACTTTGGGCCCTCCAATTCGTCCCCGGGTCCTGCGGTGAGGGGATGCTGAGCACCTGACGAACTCCGGAATCCATCTGTACTCATCCACTTAGGTACTTTCAAAAAAAAGAAGTATCGTCGACGCAAGATATTATTGGCGCTGAGATGTCTCGATTACGTGTAAGATATGTATTTAGTCCGACGCGAACGTGCAGGAAGTCTGCTCCGTTAAGTGGTATGAAAGCGTTATGTGACTATTCAGAGGAAAGCACAAGACGAAAGGAAGTCGAGCTTTTTGTCCTGAGACAAAGACGCGTAGCAAACCATTAGGGCCGCCCAAACAAATCTACATCCTAAACAACCAGGATCAGCGGTCCACGGCTTTCGATGACTGTGCCACACATTAAATTATCTATTTGCACGTATGGAACCGCCTACGACGATATATTATTCTAGCACAGTGGGTTTTCAGTTCTTCCATCCCATCTATAGTACTACAATAACGCAGAGTGAGACGAGCTACTTATAACTCCTAAAATATATAACTACTATGTACGCAAAGGTACTTCTTATTAAATGAGAGAGATTTTAATCCTCGGAGTTACAGTGGGTTTCGAGAGCTGGTGATATTCGTATGGTTACCCTACCTTCTTGCCCTTTCCGCTCTGCTCCTTCCGCCTCCGCTCTTTATTAACCCTACAAGCCAAAACATCCCTCTCATACATAAGCACCCTCTTCCTATAACTAGCCACAAGTTTCCGTCCCACAGATCTCTCATACGCCTCTCTAATCCTATAAAGTTCGATCTCACCCTCGATA